TATTACTTCCACTTAATGGTTTTACCATAAAATAAAGGAACCCCCCCCCCCCCCCCCCCGGGCCCAGATAACATCCGAACTATGGATCTTGAGACTGGATGGTCTGGTGGTGCTATCACGGATGCCTCCAAGTGGTGAACGTCGAAGGTTTTCGACACGCGCTGTGGCCCACTTGCTTCTCGTGGACGAGCCTGGCAGGCCAAGAATGTGGTTTACCCTACAACTGTGGCATTCCAAGCCGCTTGGTCACAATCGTTTTCACGTGGCACATTGGCCCTCCAGGCCTTGATGTTCTGAGGAGATTCATTGAGGAAGATTGCCGCTATGTCATATGGCCAAGTCTAAGCCCATGCGCAAGGCAATGCTCCTGAGAAACCCATCTGTCCCGTCTCTCTGCGAAGCACTTGATAGCAAGCACAAAGAGCGTGCTGCAGGCGAGAAGCACAATGGTTCTTACTTGCCGATGTATCCATGGTCCCCTTGTAAGACTACTTGACTAAGTACACGGACTGGCTGTCATGGTTCATAGCTGGTGGTCGCGTCTGATATCCACGTTAGATCGGATCAAGACTCCGGGCCGGTCTTCGGAGACGAAGTCAAGCTACGCGCTTCCTACCAAAGGCAAGACAAGTCAGCATGGACACACTCCATCTCCACAAAGATTTACTGTTTAAAACATTTTGGCTGGGGTTATCAGCTAGACCTAAGGCTCCTGGACAATGGCTTCTGCTTCCCCTTGATTCCTTACATTTGGAGGTGATTCAGTCGCCTTCAGAATATCACCCATTTCCCGCTCATGCTTGACTGTTCCTCCCTAGTCAGATTCGTGAACTACAACGATACCGAGTGGACGAAGAGGTTCTCGCACACTTCGCTGCAATTTGATCTATGTTCAACATTCACATGGGCGATGCTGTCACTTCTGAGAAGAAGCCAAATAGCAGGAATGATTCCCGTGTGGCTAAAATCTTAGTCAACCCGCAAGAAGTCAGCGAGAGTGATTCATCAAAGCACAGGAAAGGCTGCCAATTTATTGCTGTCGTTCACTACTTAATTCTGGGATCTCTTGATCTGGTTTTAGTCTCATTTTATATTCAACGTTAACTAGACTAAGACATTCACCGAGGGCTGGATATGTGGTCTTGCTGATTCACCTACTTACCTCTCGATGAGCTCTTTTCTATGTATAAATTCAATCCTCCTATAACTTATCAGAAAAGCCGTACCTCTCTTGGTCACTACTAAATAATGCAGACATATTTTACGATCACGATTTGTCCGCACCTCACACAACATCAAAAGTCAACACAACGTGAACCGTCAAAGCAACATGGAACAGTCCACCTCGACATCTGGCAACAATGGCCTTCCCTATCTGCCCTACGAGATCTTTCTTCTCGTTGCTGAAGCCTTTCTTGATGCCGCAGAAGCTTCCACGGTCCCGTTCGATTGGTTTCTGGAGTACGACGATTCAACTTCCAAAATCTGCGTCCAGACACATCGCCTGGCATATGATCCTGGTTCTATCAAAGCTTTCAAGCAAAGTCAGATGGAGCGGTTTCTCAGCTTCCAGCCCATCTACCAAGTCGATCATTGCGTTCGGAAGATGGCCCTGAAAACTTTCTTCTTCTTTCCGAGTACGCAAGCTCTCCCCCTTTCAAACGTCTGGATCTGTCCCAGAGTCGACCGCCTGCACCTCACCACTGACAACCCTTGGAGTTACCGAGGTTTCCTGAGGGCAAAACGGTTACAAGTCGAACCGCACAACCTTGGAGGCATTCGCGACATGGAAAACGTTTACCTTGGCGGTATTTGCACATATCCAGAGGTCTCGGCCAAGCGCCTGAAATGGGCAATCACAATGCTCCCGAAACTCAAGACTGCCTGGTTCACCTCTCCTCTGTCGATTCGCGACCACCAACTCGGGATTCGCTTGTCATTCTTTGAAAGTGTCTCGTTTTGGAGTCCGATTCCAGGGGAAATCTCCCTGACGGGTGAAGCGCTATCAAAGGTGAACCTCACTGCAAATCTACTGCAGAGCAAGGGAGTTCAAGTCTTAGTTGAATTCAAAGGCCAGCCACCTGATGAGCCGGCCATTGAGTTGGCCCTCACGGACGGAAGGTTACACGCGCGCTTCACTGATGCGGATTGTTCGATCTCCAACCCGATCCTGAAGGCGTTACGGCATTCTGGGCGTTCACTTCTGTATCCAAATTGGAAACGCCGGCGGTCTCCTCGAACATATTCGTCCAGCAGCGATATTAGCAGCATTTTCTAATCGGATCGAAGTGATGTCCTCATGACGTCGACGTCTATTACGGCCACGCAGAAGACCAGCCGACAGGAACGATCTTCGGCATGTCTCCCTAGTCCATCGCTAAAGACTTTGCAGGCAGCGGTACGGTGTTTCATTCTTCTCTTGCACTCATCCTCGTCGAAAACCTACCTGGAACAACGACACGACGGCGGTGCTTCCCAGGTACCCAGAACCTTTCAGAACCTCTTCATCCGCTATCCGTCACCTCGCTCTTGCTAATTGTCTGCGGAATCAACATGTGAAGCATTTCCACATCATACTTCCGAGATAGAAGTGGCTGGTAAAGGGAGTCTGAGTTGTACGAGGAGAATATCGAGGGCGGCAAAGTATTGATGGAAGTTGCGATCTATGAGACCACTAGAGACTTAGACACGCTTTCAGTTAGTGCAGAAGAGAAATATCCAATGCGTAAATCTGCATTTTCTGCCTTGAGACTTGGGCTTTGCACCTATCTGTACTTGATTCCTGCCTACTGCTGTGAACACATTCATAAAAGCTGAAGGATGGAAGTTGCCAAAAATCACCCCCTGTTCCACGACAACGGGGAGGTCTACACTTTCCAACTCTCAACTATGTTCATCGGGTCGTACGTAGATCCGCACGCCTTTTCTTTTGGTGGAGGGCAAGCGCTGTGTAACTTGAACCTACCGAAACGCCAACAGGGTATTCACGGGGTCAATTAAATTTCTTGTGGTCCGGCGCGGCTAGCTTGTGCCCGAACCTTGATACCTACTACATCAAGGCAAATTTTGCAAGTTCTATCTCCGAATCCTTACTCTTGATCCAGTCAGCTTCAAGATGCCATCAACTTCCATAAAATACTTTGCCGATTGTCTTATTGCGCCCCAACAAAAACATACCATTATGAGCCTCCCCAACGTCCCGACGCCAGATAACGGCGATCGCCGCGCGCCCTTGCCTACGGAGGTCGTTCTCAAGATAATGAAAGTCTTCGTCCAAAATGAGCTCCGAGAGCTCCGAGAAGCTCAGGATTCCGTCGAAACTTATTGGTTCCTCGACAAGCTCACGGGCAATCCCAGCGTCAACCTCAGGGAAGTGCTCCGAAAGACGCCCAATATGAACCGGATACACAAAGGCCGCTTCAAGTGCCTTCGTACATCACTACAAATCTGCTATAGAACCCGGCAAATCGTCCTTCGATCGTTCAGGAGGCTCGAAATTCCCCAACGAATCCACTGGGATACCAGAACCATGCGGACAGGCGCTCTTTGGATATGGCCCGAGAGAGACATATTCGTTCTCAGCGTCCAGACAAGCCAATTTGATAACTGGCAGGTCGTCTCGGGTGAACCCTTCTCCGACGAGATCAGGACGGTTCGATTGTGCTATGATCCCTTTCGGAACATCGACTCCCTGCCTCGATCGTTCTGGGCCCTTCTCAGCCTGCCGAGACTGAGGAGTGTGGGATTGGTAAACTTCAACAGCTCGTGTGGGCTCGCGTGGAAATCCTCATTGCTGGACAAATCTAGGTATCCCTCTTACCCGTGGGATCGATGGTTCCATGCTGCGGAGGTAGTAAGGATCGGTAGACTATCCAAACAACACATTTCAGAGTTGGATTCTTTTTGGGACCCTCTGTTGGATATCTTTCACGGGGCTCAAGCGGCTGAATAGTAGAAACAACTTGATATAAAGATATTGAGGTCAATAGTGTCAATAAAGGTAATAGGAGCGGGCATGAGAAGGTGGCAAAATACTCGTACGAAAGCCATCTCTTGACTAATGGATGGGAAAGTGTGACGATCACGTGTTACGAGAAGCAGGGTCACGTATTTCCAACAACCACGTGTCGAGGTGATAAGTCGACTGACGGCGCTTCTGGCACATCTCGATCAAACATGCTATGAGGTCTCAGTCTGCACGTTGTTGATGAGGTATCATTGCTTGCAACTGATGTTAAGATGTTATCTGCCTTCATAAATAGCGCTTCGCCTGGCCGCCGTATCAGGGGGCGAAGCATCGCGATTTGTAAAGTCTACCACTTGGAGCGTGGAGAAATACCCTGTGGGCTTTCCTCTTATGGTTTTTCCATTCTATCTTTGAGTGAGGTAACCTCAAGGTTGCGCCTCCTTTTCGTCTTTTACAAAAGCCAACCTCTTCCGCTTTCCCCACGCTTCCCTTCCTCAGCTTAAGAGCCTACGTCTAATCCCTTCTCTTCAGCATGCATTCCTTATGAGAAGGGTAAAGAAACATGAACACCGTATCGTTCGTAGACTTCTCTTCTGTCTTCATCTTCGAGCCACCACAGCAATACCACGCTGTGGCAGCCTGCAGCAATAGTATGGCCGACGTCTCGCCGCTGCCGGCCGCAGCTGGCACAATGACGCAGCCATCTCTCAAGAAAATCTGGTCTGGCCTGCCTTACGAGATATTTCTTCTCATCGTCGACGAGATGATCGAAGATGCCTGGGTCATTTCAATCGCCGAGCCTTTGGTCGTGCGCCTAAACACAGAGGATTTCTCCATGAAAGCCCACAAGATGTTCACCCAACCCGCTGGACATGAACAGTACCACCAAATACTGTTCTACGATTCCACGATACACTGCAACCGACTCCGGCGAATTCGAACCACGCTCCATCTCAATCGGAAAACGAGGGCCATGGTTGAAGCAAGATTCATTCGTTTACCCTCTCTTAAGCCCTGTGATCCTGATTTCCCACAGTGGAAGCCTTGCATGTGGCTCTGCCCGGGCACCGACATCTTCTACGCCACCCTCAAATGGCTCTTTGCCGTACTCATCGACATCCGCCGTATGGGGGAGATGCAACACGGCTCAGCGCTGCAGCATCTCGACAACCTGCGTCTTGAAGCTGACAGCTGCAGCTCGATCTTGAGGTTTTTCATCCCAAACATTGCTGCCATTATTAAGATGTCCAACCTCAAGTCAGTCACGTTTGTCATGGAAGTAGATGATCCCTTCTTCCAATACTCTCTTGCCCCCCTCGTACAATACTATTCACGTCGCTCCGCGGATCACCCCGTCCCAGCCGATGTCGCCCTAAGCCGACACTTGGAATATCAAGTGGACGGTACTGTTCACTTGTGGGCGCCGATCTGGGCCAAGGGAATCCGCGTTCTGATTGATGTGTCAGACGAGTGCGCGCACCACAGCGCGGTGGGGGAGCTGTTTCCGAGGCATGGGGAAATCAGGGTGCGACTCTTTCCTCCCCCGACGTGCGACTGCTACAAGCCTGAGTAGAAAGGAGGTCGGGAATCCAGTGATATATTTGGACTTTCGCCGTTGCTCTTAGGGGGGTTAAAGAATTTGCCCGATTCTAAACTCGCGGTTCTTATGGAGTAATACAGGCGGAGATCTAATGATAGAATACGAGCCCGATGAGGATGGTCAGGGCGACTCTGTAAGACAGTCTCCTGTTCTTTGTACTCTTCATCGCCGTCGTCAAGTTTGTTATCGGAACCTTTGGGTTGAGAGGGCAAGTGATGTAGTTCAAGGCAAAGCAAGAGTGTGACAAAGTGCGCCCAGAACATGGGAAAGAAGGAATATCATCAAGAGTGATAGCTACGTATCGGCAGAGACGCATCTCGGATGGGATCTATATGGATATCAACTAGCATCATAACAATAGCAATTCGGCGCAATACAAAGTAGTAACCATTCCATAGCATCCTGACAAGACATCTTTCATGAGCTACAACGTTGCGACACGTAACAAATGTGCCCTTTGGATCGTGATATGAACATGACGAGCATGAACTGGAACTGGTGCTTGTAATGAAACACAAGGATAGATAATAGTCGAACTGGTGTGAACGAGCAGTACAATACCTTTCCAGGCACCGCTATTCCGCAGTCATCAATGATCATAATCGTCTTCGTCTTCGTCTACGCCATTATCCTCGGACTGGTCCACAGTATTAGTATCATCACAATCGCAACCTCACTCAAAATCCCAGGTGAGAAGAAAGGACAAAAGCCATACGGGCGTGTGTACTTCAGAAATCCTTCAGCCGCCGTGGTTGAGGACACCCAGAAAGTAAAAGTCGCAATACCACCCTTTCATGTAGTCAAGATACCGGCTACTACTACTGAGCAGCTGCCAACATCGTTCTCATCAACGCTATCGTTTCCTCGGCTAAGTCTGTAGTAATAGTATCATTACTATCACAACCTCACTTGAGGACCAGGTGAAAATGAAAGAACGATAGTCACACTTGTGCCTTAAATCCTCCGGCGCCGTTAAGCCCATCCAAGGTATTGATCAGGCCCATACTTCCAACCATGCAACTGCCACTTAGCACTCGTCATCCCCATCCCCATCGCCATCGTCCCCAGTCTAGGCCGTACTATCAGTCTCCTCACAGTCGTAACCTCACCGGATCAAAGTTCCAGAGACTCCCCAGGACCGACCCTCCCCCATCACTTACATCCTCAAACCCCAGACCCCTTAGTCTGCAGACGACCTCTGATACGACGACACCTCTATGTTGGGACATGACGAAGTAGCCACCAACATCAGCCTGAGACTCCCGATGGGGCTGGGTCGGAGATGAAGAGCGCTCTCGCGACGATGAGGAGGACGCCAACAACAACATCAGTCGCGGCGATCAGGGTGACAACTACACCAGTCTCGACGTTGCAGGAGGAACCCGACGAACGAAGTTTTCGACGGCAGCGGGATGGAGGTGAGGCAGTTGGTACGAACTCCCACCTCCACTCCCTAATCACATCCTCCTCCAAAACACCCGAACACACCTCTCCCCAATCCCATCCCCAAGCCATTACTCCTTACCCGCTCTCATCAATCGCCTCTCGCCTGATCCTCGTCGCGGTATGCCAGACACCCCCCCTCTTCGTGATGACCCTCGTCTCCATTGTCATCCTTCGCCATCATCGTTGTCATCGCCGTGGCACCCTTCGTCGTCGTCGTCGTCGCCATAGTTCGTTTCCTCGACGACCTGTATCATCCCTCGTTCATCTCATACCATCGGGTATGACCGTCGTTCGTTGTGGGTTGTGGGTTGAAGTCGTCGTCGTCGTGGATATTCGTATCGCCATCGTCGTCGTCGTCATCATCGTATCAAGTCGCGTTCTCTCGTTTGAGGGTCCATCCATCACCGAATTCCATCGCAGAACATCACATCCATCTAACCCTCCTCTTCCGTATCCCAATCATCCCAATCACCCTCATCTTCATCTTCGTCGTTGCACTCGAATCCGCCAAGACCACACCAACCTCCCCCGAAACCCACCAAAAACCACCTCTCACATAAGAAGACAAAACTCACACAAGAATTCAATCAGAAAGCAGGAAACACGTCAAATTATAAACAACTACCTACCACCCACAAAAACCCCAAAGCTCCGCGCGGACGTGGGCGTCAGACAAGAGAAAGAATCCAGTAATGACGTACCGGCCGATCACCGCCGATCCCCATCGCCTCCACTCACCTGAAAAGTTACACCAGACCCAAGCGACCCATCCGCACCGTCCTCATCTCTTTTTTTGACTGGGTGAACCAAAGTAACGATGGAACGAACATAGAAATGAAGAAGGGGCCGATTGTGTTTGCGGAAGAAGTGGTGGGAGTGGCTGCGGCTCGCTGCAGAATATTGCGATTTGCCCGTCACGTCCGTGGAAAACCCGTCGCAAAAATCGTAAAAAACCACAAAAACTTCCCCGCTTCTCAATACTCTTCAAACCCGTCCGCCGTCATCGAGGAGCAGAAAAAAAAGCCAACGGTCCTCACCTTTTCGCCCCAACCTTTTGAAACGGGCACAACAGCGCTCGACGTGCTGTCAGTCGCCGTTCCGCGGCAGATCCATGGGCCCATGACGAACCTCGGCCCGCCGATCTTTGCCACAACGTGTCGCCGCGCTGTCCCTCACAGGTTTAGCAGGACGGGGACCGCACAGCAGAAATTGTCCATCTCAGCCCTAAACAGGACGGCACTGGGGAGGATCTCCTCCCGAATAGGCACGAAGCACGCCGATCGTGGCCCGGAATGGCGCGTATCACCGTCGCATCTGCGGTGAGGGCGGTCGCAGATCGTGAATATCGGGACGGTCAGCAGCGGCGGTTGGTCGGATTGTTCGCGGGAAGACGCCTGAATGTTCGTCCCTCGCTGCAGATCGTGAGATCTCCGCGTGGCGGCAGCTTGCCGCCTCCCTTTGACGCCATTGACCAGTGGGATCGCTCCCAAGACTCAGCGGCGGTGATCTCAGGATCCTCATGCTCTTCGGCGGGTGTCTAGATGGCCTCAAGAGCCTTTGAGAGGCTCTCGCTCCGGGAGATCAACCAGTTGGAGGCTACCAACAGTCGGGAGACCGAGAAACGCACGCAAGATCGCCGACTTGGCTGCTCGGTGTGCAGGGGGAATCCCCTCAACCTGCAGGAGGGAGCGGTGATGTGGTCAGGAACACCGCAAAATTGTGCGGCCCTAACCCCTCATCGCTTCACGGCGGCTCCCTCAGTCGACCCCCACGTATGGGGAGACAAGAGGGCAACACCGCCACGGTTCCCCTTCGCGATGCCCCTTCGAGACGTCTCTCTCGACATGTGGCGACACCTTCAGACTGCCGCATCAGGAAAGAGACAAGCCGTGTTCGAGGTCGCCATTGGCTCACCGTCAACGTTCCAGCAGGAGACTCCCGCTACCAGGCAGAGAAACCTAGTCCTAGTTGTGGCTGGAGTTGTGGAGGATGCGTGAGAACACTCAGACGGAGGGAAGCTCACCTCGGGGCGGGCTTGAAGGACACTGTTTCGACAAAATGTAAGCAACTTGCACTCAAGAGAAGGAGGGACATAGCTTGTGCATGGACATCAGACCAGCTTCGACCCGGGGAAAGGCTGCGAGCGCGTTCTTGTCCGGGCCTCATCGCTCCTTTATCCTCTTCACCTCGACGAGATGACCCCCTGTGGCTCGGGAGAGGCGTTCCTCTTCAGATGGGACCCCTCCACCATGCCCGAGGCCTCGTGGGACCCCTATCCTCGGCGATCCCAGGAGTCTGGAAGCAGGTAGGGGGCGGCAGCCCAATGAGCGCGGCTGTTGCTCGACCTGATAGAAAGTGACTTCTCACTAACGGGACCCCAAAGAGACGCTCACCCCTTGGCGCCAGTTGCCGCTGCACGAACTGCACGCACGACAACCCGTTGTTTCTTTCCCCTCCTCGTCTGCTGTGGCGAGTGCATGAGGCTGGAGCCAGTCAGGTCTCGAAAGTCTCCCACACCTTTCACACGCCCCTAGCAAACGCGTGCAGATGTCCGCGCTTCGTCTGCTCAGCCACAGAGCCACGCAAGTCCCAAGTCGTTTCGGTTGGAGATCGGAGCTGTGGCTAGCCCTCAGTGCCACATCCAGCAAGTGATCGACAGCCGTGTGGCGTCGAAGAGAAGTCAAACTTTTGACTCAACCGCCCGCTAAACTCAATTGCTGTACGCGAAGGGGGTGAACCCTTGGCCAGCTGAGATGCTGGATTCCGGACGTCTCTGACTGGTTGCTTCCCCTGAAGACTGAGGCGTGTTTGATGTTGTGTTTGCAGTGATCGACCTGACGATGATGGGATAACCGCTCATATTGACGAGCTGTGGCACCCATTGTGGCTAGCAGCCGCGCAATCGTGGCATACTTGTGTCATTGCACAGACTCAGTAATGCCATCAGCCCTCCTTTTCCTTGCATAATTCTTTGTTGCTTGCAATCCGTTCTTTGGAGAGCATCCATTTGTCTCTCCGAGGTCTCGCCTTTGCTTCCCAGGCCCAGACTCGTCTTCCTCGGGACCCACGATCCTCCCTGGGGATCTGATGATCGACATCTGGATATCCGGATCGGGAATTTGTCGAGCCAGCGACCGCCTGACGGTAAACAAGCGGCAGCCTGGGATCGATCCGCATGTATTCGACCCTTTCGTATCTCGAACCATTGAAATCACTCTGCCACACGAGCTCGGCATGTCACTGTGGCGAGTGCCCTCCTCCACCCGTTCCAGGCGCGCTTGCCCCGATGTACCGGTACATTGGGCATGGCCTGTGGCTTTCACCCCGCCATCGCAGGCCTTGTGATGTCCTCGAGCTGTATGATGCATGCCAGCGAGATATCCGCATGTGCTGTTGCGCAGGCACAGGGTCCCCGTGTTGCAGCGAGCGACGAAGACAACGGCGATGATGGAGCTCCTTTAGAACTCTTTCCAGTGTTTGGTGTCGCTCGTTTCTCGCAGTTGTTGCGATATCGTCTGGAGCTTTGACGGACTTGGTCCATCTCAACATGGTCTTGTTCACGGGATAGGCTCCGGTGCTCCCAAACGTCCGGTTCATCCTGAGGAAACGTAGAGTTGCATCTGACGGGGCCAGGGGCGGCGGGACAGTCTTGGCCGAGGAGGATCATCCCCACCACAGGAGACTGGCCCCCGATTCCTGCATACAGTATTCCAGTGTATTTGGAGCAGACAGTTGACGACCCCAAATTTCCCCGCAGCTGGTGGGATGGTCATTGAAAAACTTCGGAGCTCTCCTGTGTTATGCAATGACCGTGAGGTAAGTATTATAGCAAACACCCACATTGTTTGACTTGTTAAGCGCAAACAGGCGCCTCGGCATACCGAAACATCAGCTGAATGCTCGTGGCTAAGTGAGAGTAATTGCCGGAACAAAATGTCCATCGTCGCTCAACTGAGAGGGACAGTTGACCTCGTCTCAAGTTCTGGGTCTCTGATGTCGTCTGACAGGGCAGGTTTCGTGCGGCTCAACGCGATCCGGACTCGGTTATGTCCAGTGGTGTTGCGCATGAAAACATTCTTTCGTCGTCTTTTGATTTCGCATAAGCCAGCTTGCCAGCTGAATGTCAGGTCTCAACCGCAATGTATACCCAGAACCATTCAGTATCCTAAAATAATCAGCAAACCCGCGGGCAGATAATCGGTACTTCGTTCAGAAGCCAGTCCTTTGTACCAGACAATCGGCAAAGCAGACGGCGATCCTCAACGCACGGTTGAGTGGTTGATATGTAGACACCGAGATGTAGAACCGGCCAGCATAAAGACGCCATACCAACTCAAAACCAACGGCATCAAAATGACGGTGAGAAGTACCCCTTCATCACCAAGAGATCAGCCCATGTCGGCGTAAGGCCTCCTGCTCGGTTAGAGAAGACAGGAAGGTAAGGAGGAAAGCCGCGTCGACGATCAGCCACAAAATGCCACATGTGGCTTGTCGGTGTGATAGCCCGTACGTAGGGCTGCGGGGTAGTCTCTCGACGGTGACACTGGGCTGATGTTCTTTGGCAACATGTACCGGCGCATCAGCCCTGAAATTGCGAGGAGATGATGTGACAGGGCCGATGGAGCGTCTAGACCACCCTAACGCGCAAACACTCGCCACAACTCTTGTGGCTGGCCCAACTCTCTTGAGTAGAGCGGCTGTCGATCGGTGTGGCTAAACGTCTGTTGTCGGCAACAGGGAAGGCCGTTTTCGATGATTTTGCTGAGGGGTTTGGGCGGCCTCGCTGGGTACCCTCGTACTGCGCCGATCAAACGGAAGAGCCGGGAATCCGGCCGATGTTGTCCAGCCCGAGGGGCTCGGAGAGTGTGCTGGAGTCGGATGAAGGCCGTGAGCAGTCGGTGGCCGCGGAGCGACCGGGACACCATCACCACTCACCCAACAGTGCTCCTCGTGGCACAAGATGCTGAAAAGCCACTGCCGAGACCCGAGGTGCGCGGGTTGCATTGAATGTCGGAATGGACCGTGGCGATATTGTCTCTGGATTCAGCCTCAGCTCGTGGCAATTTGTCAACATGGTGGTCGTTTCTGTTGTTGAATCCGCCAAAATAGACTTCCCGGAGGGTTGATAACGAGGTATTCAACAACCACGAAGGGATTAACTTCGTTTTACCGGCTTCGTTTGAAGTTGTCTCCATTGCTCCGGTTGGAGGAGATCACACCTCCTTCTGCTCGCCGGAGCGTCATGGCCTTCTCGGATTGCCGTGCTGTCTTAGAAGCTCGGTGATCACAATTGGACGTGTCGAGGGGTGTTGTTGGTGGTTGCAACAGTCCCGTGAAAGCCAGTGAACCTCGGGCTTGTTAGAGGGTACGAGTACGCCCAGATCTTGCCGGGCCGGCGCGGCGTCAGTTAGGGCAGTGTCCACTAGGCGCGCCGTAATGCGCCCGATAGAACGGACACGTCGGGTCGCGTGGCTAGTGACCGTCCGCCTCAACACAGCGTCCGTGGTGAGCACGTTTTCAAGGGTGCTCCTGGACACCGCTCATCGAAGGTTTGAGCCCGTTCCTTTGACACGAGGAAATTGTAACCACCCTTCTCCTGGTGTCCGATAATGAGGGAATCCAACGTACCTGCGATGAGTGAGGACCAGACCGTCGTAGACGCTAGCGAGCGTGCATGTCGACAGACGTTTCAACGCCGCACCAAGTGGCTCCCGCCGTCGAAATGAGCGCTTCCCACGCGAAATTAGCCACGGCACACCCGTCTCCCAATCATCGTGCCCGATGCCGATTCTGATCTCCTGGGCAGCAATATCATCGTGCATAACGACCACGGAACCGATATGAACCCTAGAATTAGTGCTGTAGTGAACGGCTGTGTTTCCGATTCTGTCAATAGCATCAATCGACGCCCATGTCGACGCCCGCGCGGATGGAAAGTATGATGTCAAAATAAATGGCGTAAAATTCTGTTCTCCAGATTGACCAGAGAATCAGTGGGTATGTTGCTAAGGTACAAGCTGCAGCGCAGAAGAGCTCGTGCTCCATGAAATGTGCCCTCCGATGCTTGCATGACTTCGTCAACCAGCTGTCGGCTTGTGCGCAAGCCGATGTACATGTTGTTTTGCGTTGAACAAAAGAAAGACAGCGGTTCGGGCACCAAATAATATGGTAAAAGTTGATGCGAGAATCAGAGAGATAGAGGTGAAAGAAACCGCATCCTGGGCTGTCAACAACCCATTCGTGCCACGGTAGAGGTGGACCAAGTCGTTTTCGAGGCCTCCCCCGCCGCGTGTCAGCGCCTCGTGCTTTCAGTAAGCCTCTCAAATGTACCGACAGCCCATGTAAGGGCGGGATATCTTGTGTGTTTTGTTGCCATGCCCGTAGTGTCCCAAATCTAAATGCCCAAATCATAAATCCGCCCACGTATTGGTGACCAGATGCGTTGAAAAGAAGAAGCGGCCCATCGAGGGACTTGGTATCTCAAAATCAACAACGCCAACTGAGTGATTTCCCAACCATGCGTGTGCGAGTCCGTATGTGTCCCTCTGGCGTGCCTGGCGACAGACAGCCAGAACGCAACAAGTACAAACCCCGTCTAGTATCCGAATCCGTTTGAATTGTTGCTGAAGTAGAAGAAGGATCCAATTATGTAAAATTAGAAGTTGAGGCGCAATTCGTAGCCTCCGTGCAAAGATGGTTGGTCCGCGGCGTCGCCTTCGTTGGGGTCGACAACCATGTCCCATTCTCGCTTGGGCTGAACATCGTCCGTAAGCTCCTTGATTTCGAGCTTCATGTCCTGGCCTTCTCTCAGTTCTGCAATGACGTCGTCATCCATTTCAACCTCGAGGCCGCGATCCAGGACATGGACGGTTCGCACGATCTTTGATGGGTCGATGTTCCACTTGGCAGCCACGCGGAAGTTGAAATCCTTCAGGTTGCGCTGAGCCAAGTAGATGGCCCTGTAATACTCGCGCTTCTCGGGCTCGTTCGAGTTGGGTCGGACGAGGTAGAAGCAAGCGACAGGCTTGGCGACACGCTCAGGAGGGGGGCGGTAAGACGGGTCGACCCCCAAGGCCTCGATCCAGCCGCTCAAGTTGCCTGTGTCATCGGTCTTGCTGACCTTCGTCGGCTGGTCGGAGCCCTGTCGTGACGCAGGCTCTCCAGATCCCTCGCCATCAAAGGCAGACCATTGTCGGTTTGGCACTGCCGAGGCCTGAGACACCAACGACAGAGAGCTCGGCGATGGAGAGACCAAAGAGGAGCCTGCAACAGAGCTCCGTCCACTGCGTGCTTGCCAGGCTGGCCCTTCCCGAGATTCCACCTTTGCAAGGTCACCCTGCTCCCCGGGGAGAGACACAGGATGGAGATCGGGGTCGTCGAGTTCTTCGCCGCGAAGGTAAAGCACACTGACTGGCCTTGTGCTCGTGAACATGTCCTGCAGTGTCTGGAGCTTGAAATGCAAGTCTTCTTCAAGAGGGGGGCGGGTGCCCCCCGCCGAACTCGTCGAAGACATTGACCAGGTTCGCTTGTGTTTCTGAACCTTGCCGGGTCGTTGATCCGCGCCCTTCACTTGTGATGTGGCTGAGGACCTCTTGCGCTTGCCAAAGTCCTTCATCCCGCTCTCGGCCTGTGCGATTTGCTGCTTGAGTTTGTCGATTGTCTTCTTGACGTGTGCGACGTCGTTGGAAAGCTTGCGTTCGGCTCCATGGTCGCGGAAGAGCTTGACCTTGCAGAAACAGATCTCGGGGTTGGCGTCCGCAGCCGGCTGAGAAGGGTCTGAGGGAAGAGTCATAGTCTTGGCGCATAGTCGAACCGGAATACCCTTCACGCCCTTTGAGTGACTGAAGTCCGTCGACAAGAAGTTGAAGCGGACAGCAATGTTGCACTCTGGGCCGCCGTTGATGCCAGGGGTCCAGACGACGGAGAATCCATCGAAAGATGACGATTCCAACTCGATACGGGTTCTCTTGTCGTCACCTTCGGTAGGTTGACCGGCTTCCACATATTCCACAGCCTGTAGTTTTCCTCCTCTTTGGTGGGCCTCGTTCGTGCCTCTTCCCTCCTTCCATAAAGCCCAGCAAACTCCAGGCTTCTGTCTCTGTTGCTCATCCTCAAAAGAGATACGCACAAACGTGCGGAACTTGGTGCCGGGAGCAACAGGGATGGTGGCATTGGTATCCACGATGGAAAGAGAGTAAGCCTGGCCTTTGTTAAGATAAGTCACAGGGATCTCGTCCGCGTGCTTGATCATGGCCGTGGGCGCGTTGAGGGTCGAGTGGAAGCGGAACTTCTCAGCAGATGGCGGTAGGGCAGCGGCCATGGGCATGCCGCCAAATTGGGCCCCTTGTTGAAAACCGACCATGGGTGAGTTGTGAAACGCACTGTCGATTGAGGCCATCCTTTCCTCAGATGGGTCAGAGTTCATGGGCGATCCATCCTGCTCCATGGTCTCATAGCCGGTGTCCTGGTGCACAAATGTCGAAGGTGCAAAGGACTGCTGTGGCGCCGCAGCCTGGATGAAGGGGTTGAAATGCGGCGGGAACTGCTGGGCGTGCATCCCCTGGTAACCGGCGAGGTCCATCATGGCCGGCCCGGAGTTCATCGCGCCCTCCGACGTGGGCATCGACAACGGAGTGCCGAGCCCCATGCCGAGACCCAGAGTGGGTGTGTGCAGGTCACCGGCCTGCGGGTGGTAGATGGTGTTGGTGCCTCCCGGAGTGGGAGTGTAGTACCCAGGCGGCGCATTGGCGAAGTTGGTGAAGGAGAACGAGTTGGGATCAAGCAGTGAGGGAGTGAACCTCCACGGCTCATTCGTCGCTCTCGGTGTCGGATCTTGGTCCCTGAAAGCTTCATGACTGAGACTATGGCTTCTGCGGGAAGTATAATATTAGCAAACACGTCATTTACGTCGAAAGCAGTACGGATCCGTCTTCTCGATGGATTGAATTTGCGAGGGTGTTGTTGATCCACCAACGACAAAGTACCCCGCGTTTCTGCCTACTCGAGTCATCCCGGGCGGTACGGCCGGACGGCCCAAGGCCAACGGCAAACCTCGAGACGGCAAACAGAGACAAAAGCTTCGGCGGAAAACTGGTTCGGGGACGGGTACTGACCTCTCTTGCTGTCCTGGGAGTCCTGGGATGGGGGCGACGGCGGCGCTGTCTACGGCGACACCAGCCGGTGCACCGGTGGTTGCAGCTACCTCGGGGAACTGCCTTCTGAATTGGGCCAGCAGTTCATCGCCGGGTTTTTGGGCGCTTGCTCTGTAGAGAAGAGACACGAGTCAGTGGGAGGCCGGGACAGCGCAAAAAAGGTTTCGAGATGGCGCAACAACGCGCAGCGTGTGTGCGGGGAGCCGGGTCGCACAGTTATTTTTGTCGGCGCATGAGGGAAAAGACATGGCAGAGCTTACCTTTGACGAAACATTTGGAGGGTATTTGTGTGCGCTGTCCAGCGACAGCAGTTCAGTGGTGGTTTTCAGCGCAGGATATGTCCTGGATCTTTCCGGTCTCTTTCTGGCGAGTGATCGAATTATACGAATCCTCGCCTTTGGTTTAGCTTGAGCTTGCTTGCTTGCTTCGAACGCGTTGGTTGACGATTCAGCTGGGCTGAGCTGGTCTTGGCCTTTTTTTTTTCCTTCTTAACGAGCGTAGGTGAGGTGGGGGAATGCCGAGCTTTGGTGCTTCATAGAGCGGTGGGAGAAAACGAGTGAATGGGTCGGTGATGGTTTCGCACGCGGTCGCAGAGAAATACCCGAGCGGAATTGGGTGGTCAAATGAAGATGGGCAAGCGACAGTGACCGCTGGCAAATCGAAAAGTTGCTGGTCGAAGGAAAAGGGCCGCTCTGGTATGACGTCCGTGGGGAGAGAGCGGTATATTAGAGGGCGTTGTGGGTACCTGACAAGTGCGTATGTGAGGCAAGGTGGACAGCTCGACAAGGATAGAGCGGAGAAAGGATGGCCTAGATGCGCCGTCGACTGTTGCTGTCGATATTGGCCTTTCTTCTTCTCTGCGTCGGTACGTCGGCGAGAGTTGTTTGAACGGGGTCAGGCGGCGTAGATGTGAGGGCGAAGACGAAGTTCGACGGGACTCATATGTGACTTGAGTGGTTCGGCGTAGGTCGCGGGATCTTGGTAGCCGGGTGTGAGCGTGGCTGCTTGGTGGACTGCTGCGCGATGTGAGTTGTGAGCATTCGAAGACGGCGCGTGTTGGTAGACCAGGCTGGTGAGGACCAGGTGATGCGATGAGGAGGTGAGCCCAAGGACGATGTGTTGATGTGTGAGGGCGGACTAGACGGGATATTATGAGGTCGGAGCAGACGGGTATTCCAGGCAGGACTTTGCAGAGAATCAAGGGAACGGAACGGGATGGATGAATGGGATGAGCGGTATCTAATGTATGTATGTGTATGTGGTGTAGGCGTAGGCGTAGGCGCGCATGTCGAGGATGGTCAGGTATGGATGGTGTGTGCGCGCGGGTTCGAGGAGCGGTGCCCTTGGGCTGGGTAGTTGGGTCCGCGGTCTGGGTCCTCCTTGGAGAGAGAGGAGAAAGGTATGGGTATGGGGCCTTGGGCTATGGGTTCAGGGTATGGGTTCAGAAGTCGTGGGTAAAGGGTGTGTGAGGTCGTGGGGAGAGGTAGGGTGTGGGAGATGGAAAATGAGAATGGGTATGGGTACGGGATGGAGATATGAGCCAGGGTCAGAGGAGAGAGAGAGACTGGGAGAGACTGAGGTGCGTGGCTGTCGGGTATGGGTACCTTACGATGTGCTTGGGTAAAGGTGATGAAGCAAGTAACTGTGGTACGTACTCTTTGTTTTTGTGTGTGTTATTTTTTTTCTGGTCTGAGGTTCTGTCTGCAAGTGAGGTGAAGGAGCTAGGTAGCAGCTGTGCGGCGTAGCTGGGCCGAGAGACACGTTGGAGGAGACTTGGCCGAGAGGTGGACGGGAGAGCAGACGAAATTGGAGTAAGAGTAGGTACTTTGTCGAGGGCGGGAGGAAGGGGCGTAGATGGCGGGAAATAATGCAGAAAAAACGGTGTTGTTGGAGGGGATGAGGAGTCAGATATCTGAGGAAGATTCCGAGTAAAAGAGTCGAGGTGAGTGAGGTGAGCTGAGCTGAGAGCGAGAGGTGCGAGGTAATGTAGGTAAACGAGCGACGGGTTGACTCGAGTCGAAATTCAACCAAGGTAGAGCTGTGTATGTCTTTGAAGCACGTAGGCAATAAGGCGCGGTGTGTGTGGTGAGGTGAGGTGAGGTGAGGTGAGGTGCGGTGCGGAATATTAAGGTGAGAGAGACAAATGCAGGCTGGTCGAGGAAGAGGCTGCAGACCGGAGAGAGAAAGTGTGGTGGTCGTCGTCCTCTTTTGGGCTGATGACGGGAGCTGCTGTGCTGGGAGGTTCCAAGTGGAGCGTGGAGCGTACTGAAGTAGAGCGTGGAAATGGAAGGGAAGTCCCGATACTTCTAATTGCGACTGCAATGTATGGGAATTGGGAGAGACGGTACGTATCTTTACACACGTGAGAAACGGCCATCGATGGCAGTACTCAGCATCCACCGTCTCTCTCTCTCTCTCTCTCTCCTTCCTCTGTCCTCTGTCTGCTGCTGCAGCATGCGACAGGACAGGGATTAGGCGTCTTCTTCGGCGGCACCCTACTCCCGCCGCTGCTCTCCCTTGTCAAGCCGTCTTCCACCTCGAAAAAATAATTGTTAGTGCAGGACAATGGACGTTGTACTTCACCCCCCCGCTCTCTGCCTCCCCCGGCTGAGATGTGTTGACAGGGCTTGTCTATGTCGACGCCCCCGCCGTGGGAGCGCCAGACTGCAGCACACAGATGATGAAAGTACCCAAATCAGTACGTACTCTTATCCAGATGGCGGATGAAGACGTGGACATGCGAGGTGAGGTGACGGCTGACCGATTCATCCTCCACAACCTCGTAGCCGAACGACTCGATTTCGGGTCTCGAGTCGATGTCAGGCAAAGCAAAGCAAAGCAGAAAACAGAGTTGTTACGGAAAAATGCATGATTGCATTCAGTAAGTACCAGTGACTGGTGCCTTCTCTGCATGCTCGTGTCAAGGTTGGAGATGTCATGGGGTCTGTCAAAGTCGTCTACTTTCCGACGCTTTCTTTTCGCGCATGAAGCTCTCGAGTCTTGAGGCTACCCTGCCTTTCCAGAGACTGGAGGCTACCATTCGTTTCTTTCTCCCCTGCAGAGTCAGCCGACACTTTTCTCTCCGATTTCAGTAGACTCGGAGAAAGAGCGAGAGAGAGAGAGGCAGAGACGGTCGGGAGAGTGGGGGATATTGGCAGGGGAGCGCCGCACCACGGCCGCCTTACCCAACTGACGTAGTGCTTTTTGGGGTCTTCCGTCTTCCGGCTCACCTTGCCTCGCCAGTCAGGCCAACCACCTCAGACGTTTCCATTGCCCGTCACCTTATTTTGTTGTTGAATTTGGAGAAAGAAACGGAGACGGGCAGAAATAACGAGACTGACAGGACCCGGGAGCTTTTTTGTCCCGAGTCTGGTCGTCTGGGTCGGGTCCGACCTACTAAGGTAGGGGCACAGATGGCAGGTCCCTTCTTGCTTCATTGGGTCAGGTCTGGTTTCTCTGGCTCGTTCTTTCCTCGTCCGTTCCACGTCCCTTCCTCCGCACGATCTCTGAGATACAACGTTATTGCCGCGTCCATTAAAGACGGGGACGGAGGCAGGTACGGACGGACACCGAGGGTTAGTTATTTCCATTGGTCAACGGATTTACAGCGACGCCTACGTCCTGAGGCGTCATTCCTCGTATTGCCTGTTCAGGGCGACGTCTCACAACTGCTTCCTTTCTGCTATCACGACATATGAGTATGTATTTAACAATTGTCATTAAATTTATAACAACATAGAAAGAAATACCCAGATGCATAGATTCTTGCCTATGCGAGTAAACAGCGCCATTCCCGCTGCCTTAGCGCACCTGCTACTCCCGTCTTTTTACTAGGTGCTACCTAAAGTATGAGGCGCTTTCCCCAAAAACAGATGCTTCACACATGGCAGGCGCGATGGGAGGCACCTTACTCAAACCTTAACGTGCCTGTGCCTGCCTTGCGCCTTACCTTACGTAGTGCGCAGGACATCACATCCGCCGGCATGGAAGGTGGTAGTCAACGTTACCTTACCTTCCTTCTCCAAGTTGCTATGCCATTTTGAAGTAGACGGCAACAGCAAACAACCTGAACTACCTTACTAGGTAGCTAAGGTAAGGCACGCAGTAAGGTTGCTCTCAGCTGCCCACTACACCTTGTATCTTTCCATCACATCATCTTCCCGCACAAGGACCTCCCTTCACCCAATTTTTTTCAACGCTTGACGTCCATCTCCAACTCAATTTTGGCACCAGGCGGAAAACTGGATTTCCTTTTTCCCATCCTCTCTTTGGCATCCCCGTGTGCCGTGCTCCCTCCGCCGCTTCGTCATTCCCATCCACCACCCGCCCAATCTGTCGTCTCGCAAGCTTCATCCCTCTCCGACTGGACTGCCAATAGACACCATGTACCAAAACACCCACGCCGCTCGTGGTGCGGAGTCGACGGGTGGATATCGTCTGATTAAGGCGCTGACTCCTGGATCGGTACTTCTGAGATCATCGCGCTTCCGCCAGCCAGCTGCTCCAGTTTCCTCCCAGCGCCGCCCGACAAAATCCTCAACCTTATGGACAGACGCCGGAGCATTGGACAACTCCGTCTCTTGGTACGGAATATTGTCGTTGTCCTGCGCAAAAACACCACCACCTCAGCTTT